GAAGCTTGGTTCCTGAACTTCCTATCCATATGCAGCTGGGGGCCACAGGACCGGTGGCCCCTCAAGGCTGGAGCGCCACCTGGCTGGTTATGAGAGCTCCTCTACCCTCATGACCAGCGAGCTGGAGAGTACCAGCCTGGGGGACTCGGATGAGGAGGATACCATGAGCAGGTATGGCTCTGCAGCTCTCCCCAGTGTGCCCAGCCCTGGCTTTCCTCCTCTGGTCAGTCCTCTTGTTCTTTCTCTTGGCCCCATGACCACTTTGGCTTATGTTTGTTCTCCTCCCAATCTCCTGACAGGTTCAGCAGCTCCACGGAGCAAAGCAGTGCCTCTCGCCTCCTGAAGCGCCACCGGCGGCGGAGGAAACAGCGGCCACCCCGCCTGGAGAGGGTGAGGGGGTCCCCATGGGAATACTGGTGCTGGGAGAAGGTGGGGCATGGGCCTTGGTTTGGGTGGTGCCAGGACACCAGCAGAGCCCCAGGGTGTAGCCTGGGTTGTTGAAGAGCACTCTAGCTCCTTCTTTTCCCATCACAGACCTCATCCTTCAGCAGTGTCACGGATTCTACAATGTCCCTGAATATCATCACAGTCACACTGAACATGGGTACGGGGAAAGCCTGTGGGGAGGGCCTGGTCTCTGGGGCTTGCAACTAGGGCCTCTTCCCCTCACACGGCCTCTCTCCACAGAGAAATACAACTTCCTGGGCATCTCCATTGTGGGCCAAAGCAATGAGCGGGGAGATGGAGGCATCTACATAGGTTCCATCATGAAGGGTGGGGCCGTGGCGGCCGACGGGCGCATTGAGCCAGGGGACATGCTTCTGCAGGTATGCTGGGGCAGGGCCATTGAGCTGCCCTGCGTGGGGGCCCTCAGCCTCTGCCACCCGGCCTCTGACCCCCTTCCCCTTGCTTCCAGGTGAATGACATGAACTTTGAGAACATGAGCAATGATGATGCCGTGCGGGTGCTGAGGGACATCGTGCACAAGCCTGGGTGAGTTGCTGAGCAGGCTGCAGGTCCTCAGTCTTTTTTTTTTTCCCCCCCTTAAGTTTTTGTTTTGCAATTTTAATAAGTGATAAGACAGGCGGGCCCAGGAGCTAACCCCTGCAATCCCAGTACTTTGGGAGGCTGAGGTGGGTGGATCACCTGAGGTCAGGAGTTTAAGACCAGCCTGGCCAACATGGAGAAACCCCAACTCCATTAAAAATAGAAAAATGGCCAGGTGCAGTGGCTCGCACCTGTAATCCCAGCACTTTGGAAGGCCAAGGTGGGCGGGTCACCTGAGGTCAGGAGTTCGAGACCAACCTGACCAACATAAAGAAACCCTGTCTCTTCTAAAAAATATAAAATTAGTTGGGTGTGGTGGCACATGCCTGTAATCCCAGCTACTCGGGAGGTTGAAGCAGGAGAATCGCTTGAACCTGGGAGGCGGAGGTTTCGGTGAGCCAAGATTGCACCATTGTACTCCAGCCTGGGCAACAGGAGCGAAAACTCCATCTCAAAAAAAAATATATATATATTAGCTGGGTGTAGTGGTGCTCCCCTGTAGTCCCAGCTAGTGGGGAATGAGACAGAAGAATTGCTTGGACTCTGGGGTGGGGGCAGAGGTTGCCGTTACCTGAGATCATGCCACTGCACTTTAGCATGGGCAACAGAGCAAGACTCTGTTTTGGAAAAAAAAAGTGGGGGTAAGACATAACACTCAATGTACATGAAACAAATTCGTGATGTAGCAAATAATACTAGAGTGAATACTCATGTCACCGCCACCTAGACCATCAAATAGAGATTGCTGACACCCTAGATCCCCCTCCACAGACGCCCTTTTCTGCTCTGCAATGCCTCACCCCCCAGGGGTAGTCACTCTGCTGACTTCCTGGGTCATTACCACGACAAAGAAAAGCTTTGCCTCCCTCCATAGTAACCACCCTTACATGTATCCTTGAACAGCACGGTTTTGTTTTACCTGTTTTTGGACTTTCAGTGAATGGAATTGTACAGCGTGTACTCTCTCGTTTCACTTGGCAATATGTTTTTAAGAGTTTCCATGTTGATGAGTCATCCTCATTGTGGTACCTTCCACCCTTACCTTCCCTATCCCAGCTGAGACATGCTGGCTTCTCCCCATCTTTGTGTCTCTTAATTCATCCTTGCTTCAGCCCCTCCACCCCAGGCCTGTTCTTCCCCTGTGCCCTTGACTGGCCTTCTCTTCCCCATAGCCCCATCGTGCTGACTGTGGCCAAGTGCTGGGATCCCTCTCCTCAGGCCTACTTCACTCTCCCCCGAAGTGAGTGACACTCAGGGAGGGCCTGAAGTTGGTGGTGGGGGCGGCCCAGAAGGCTGGGGCTGGCCTCTGGTCGTGAGGAATGGGTGGAGGAGGGTCCAGGCAGAGGTGGAACAGGAGGCTGAGTCAGGGAGGGACTGGGCTGGCTTTTGGGGACTGAGAAGGGGTCATTTTGGTACCATCTTTGTCCCAGATGAGCCCATCCAGCCAATTGACCCTGCTGCCTGGGTGTCCCACTCTGCGGCTCTGACTGGCACCTTCCCAGCCTACCCAGGCTCCTCCTCCATGAGCACCATTACATCGGGATCCTCTTTGCCTGATGGTGAGCCACCAGCCAACCTCATTTCACCCTCCTGCCAGAGGGCTGCCCCGAAGTGGTATGACCCATGGCCCTTGTGGGAGTGACCCTGCCTCTTGATGCCCCATTGTCTCCTCTGCCAGGCTGTGAGGGCCGGGGTCTCTCCATCCACACAGACATGGCATCGGTCACTAAGGCCATGGCAGCTCCAGAGTCTGGGCTGGAAGTCCGGGACCGCATGTGGCTCAAGATCACCATCCCTAATGCTTTTCTGGGTATGGCTGGGTCCTGGGCAGGTGGCTGGAGAAGGGGAGGAGGAGGTGACCGAAGCTGGGAACAGCACAGACAGAGGTGAGAGCAGGAGTTGGAAGGAGAAACTGAGGCCTTTTTCCACTGTGGGTGCCCCCAGGCTCGGATGTGGTTGACTGGCTCTACCATCATGTGGAGGGCTTTCCAGAGCGGCGGGAGGCCCGAAAATACGCCAGTGGGCTACTCAAAGCTGGCCTCATCCGACACACCGTCAATAAGATCACCTTCTCTGAGCAGTGCTATTACGTCTTCGGAGACCTCAGTGGTGGCTGTGAGAGCTGTGAGTCCCCCTGCCCTGACTCTGGCAGTGTGGCTCTGCCTGCCTTGTTCTGCCTCTCCAACCCTAGACCTAGCCCAGAAACCGCAGCCAGGGCCACCATGGATGGTTGAGCAGCATGTGTCCCGAACTAGGTTCTGTACTGGCCGAGGATGGGGGCTGACGTCCACCCATGCGCTGCGGGACTAACCACGCCAGGTGCAGGACTGTCCACCAGGGGAAGGTGCACCTCTTTCTGTGTCCCGTAGAGGCATGGGCTAGTGGTGGCCCTGGTTGTGCCCCTTCCCTCATGGCAGAAGTAGTTGGGAGTTTCCTGTCAGAGGCCCTTGTGAACCTGTTTTGAGCCCAATCTTGGGTGGGTCTGGGAGAACTGTTCCCAGTTCCTCTCATTCAGTGTCTTAGGGCCCTAGCCTCTTTGAAGCAGTGATTTCTTACTCTCTTCTTTTGCTTTCCAGACCTAGTTAACCTGTCTCTCAATGACAACGATGGCTCCAGTGGGGCTTCAGACCAGGACACCCTGGCCCCTCTGCCTGGGGCCACGCCCTGGCCCCTGCTGCCCACTTTCTCCTACCAGTACCCCGCCCCACACCCCTACAGCCCACAGCCCCCACCCTACCATGAGCTTTCGTCTTATACCTATGGTGGGGGCAGTGCCAGCAGCCAGCACAGTGAGGGTAAGTCACCCCCAGATACCCAATACGCCAGGTCTGAGGGCGGATCAGAGGGGAGCCAGGGAGGAGCCTGGATGAGGACTCAGTTGCCCCTCCCCTCCCTCCACAGGCAGCCGGAGCAGTGGGTCGACACGAAGTGATGGGGGGGCAGGGCGCACGGGGAGGCCTGAGGAGCGGGCCCCCGAGTCCAAGTCCGGCAGTGGCAGTGAGTCTGAGCCCTCTAGCCGAGGGGGCAGCCTTCGGCGGGGTGGGGAACCAAGTGGGACTGGTGATGGGGGCCCTCCTCCCTCCAGAGGCTCAACTGGGGGTGCCCCTAATCTCCGAGCCCACCCGGGGCTCCATCCCTATGGACCACCCCCTGGCATGGCCCTCCCCTACAACCCCATGATGGTGGTCATGATGCCCCCACCCCCACCCCCAGTCCCTCCAGCAGTGCAGCCTCCGGGGGCCCCTCCAGTCAGAGACCTGGGCTCTGTGCCCCCAGAACTGACAGCCAGCCGCCAAAGCTTCCACATGGCCATGGGCAATCCCAGTGAGTTCTTTGTGGATGTTATGTAGCCCGCGGTGGGCCAGGCTGGGCCTGGTGCTACTGGTGTGTGACTGGGTGTCCCGGCCATCATGTGCTTGCTCTCACAGTGCCTGGGCTCAGCCTGCCGGCTGCTGCCAGACAGGAGGTCGTGGCCACTGTGACTCTCACCAGCAGTGCCTGGTTCCTCCCCCTTCCCTCAGGGGTAAACAAGGGACCTTTGATTATTTTTAGCTTTGTTTTTTTATAAGCCTTTTTGGGGGTTAAAATAGAGTTTCTTACACTTTTGGGACTAATTTTTTTAATAGGCATTTCCTCTTTTGTATAAAGCATCCCCATCTGTTGGGCCCCTTGTTCTAACCCCAGAATGTGACCTCCTCCTCCAGTTACCCACAGCCCTGTCCTGTGCGGGGTTGGGGGTGGTCAGTGGTACCCTGGGGTTAGGCCCCTAGACAGCAGCCCGAGGAAGCTGGGAGATTTGGGCCGTGTAGCTGCCTTTGTTACGCTATTTATTTTAGTCACTTGTATAAGACACCAAATAAAGCAATAGAGGCAAACTCCCCACACCTCTGGCTCCTTTCTTTGGGAGGGAGGCAGGCAGCAGAGGGAAAGAATGGACACACAGGAGCGAAGGATGACTTGTTAGAAATTTTATTATTTGTGAGGCAGTTAAGTGCTCTGGAGAGCAGGCACAGTCTTGGGAACACTATGACCACCCCCTGGACAAACCAGGGCCCTCGGGAGAGGGGCTTCAGCTTTGGCTTGAGGGAAGGCACATAACCAGGCCAGGCCCTGGCCAAGAGTATTCAGAAGCCAATTGGGTTGCTGGTGACCACACCACCCCGCTCCACCAAGGCCTTGGAGATGCTTTTGAAGTTGCGGTAGAGCTCCTGCTGCTGGGGGTCCGACTGCAGAGTGGCCATGCTCTCTCGGATCCGGGCTGCAGCCTGTGGGGAGGAAGGAGGGGTTTGGGCCTGTACCTCTAGCCCCTCACCTGAGCTTGGCAGTCCTGAGTCTCACCTCGATACACCAGGTGTCACAGAGCATTTTCTCATGCTGGGCTGTGGAGTGGCCCTCACTGAGGGATCTTGAGGCCCTGGCAGGAAGCAAGAGACAAAAATAAATCTGTGCCGGCTGGGATCCGGGCCTAGCCCCCCTTCAGCCCAGGCATTCCCTACCTGCCTCCTCACCTCGAGAGAACCACTACCATGGCATAGAGGTCGATGGCCCCGTCTGCCAGCCGCTGCAGCAGAAATTGTTCATCTATCGGGTAGGTGGGTGGGGGTGGGAGTGTTAGTCTCAAGGAGAGGAAAGGGTGGGAGGGGTGGGAGGGCAGAGGTCACTCACTGACAATCCCCTTCCTGTGTTTTATCAGCTTTGCCTCCACCACAGCGGCAAACTGCTCCAGAGCCTGCACTGCCTGAAGAGGAGGGAGAGGTGGGAGAGGTGCAGGGCTCAGGGGCCGTTGGCCGCAGCCCCTGACGCAGGCTCTCCTAGACCCCTGGCTACTTACCAGCTCACCGCTCCGACTCAACTCTGGGTGGACGATTCCATTGAGACTTAGGCCGCTGCCCAGTCCTGCCCGCCTGAGAGGAAGAGGGAGAATGACTGGTTAGCTGCCATACATCGCCCTGCCCTCCCCTGGCCCTTGCCCTGGCCCTAAGCCTACCGCCTCAGCTGTTTGCCTGCCTCTCCTAGCAGGAGGCCAGCATTCCCAAAGGGATTCTTTAGAGCACTGCCAAGCCCAGAGAGCTCCTTTCCTTTGTCCTATGGGGGAAGAGGGTCCAGTAGTCAGGACTCAGTGTCCTCCTCACCTCTACCCCACCCAATTCTCCCTCTTACCATACAGCCCTGCAGAGCTACAAACAGCCGAAGAATGTCATTTGTCCCCTCAAAGATCCGGAAGATGCGAAGATCTCGGAGCACACGCTCTACTCCAGGTTCCTACCACAGGGCAACACAGATCATACGCCCCTGCGAAGATGTGCCTGCCCGCCCCTGGCCCAGTGGAGGCTCTGCAGAAGACGGAACTGTACCTTCATGAAGCCCATACCCCCCATGATTTGGATGCACTCATCTGTCACCTTCCAGGCTGCCTCCTAGGGACAGAGAACAGATGGGACTGGTTTTGGAGCTAAGCTCCCAAACTGGGCTCTCCCTCCCTGCATGCCTGGGACCTCACCGAGCCAAAGATTTTGCTGATGGCGGCCTCTATCTGGAAGTCTGTGGATCCCTGGTCCATGTTAGCACTCACCATGTAAGCCATGGACTGAGGTTGCATGGTTGGGACATGGGAAGGAAAATGGAAAACGGCTGTGTCAGACTTGGCCTGATCACCCAATCCTGAAGATCAGGTGTGACCTAGCTTGGTAGACCCAGTCACCTAACTCGTCAGGTCAGGCAAATATTTGTTCTTCTGGGTCAGTTCTCAAGGCACTTTCAGGTATTTGTTTTCTTAAAAGGGGTGGAGATAAGGGATGGGGTAGGATTAACTTCAGTTACTGCTGGCCAGCATCTGACCAGAACATCATTGCTCTCCACCTTCCGCAGAAGCTGAGCTGACTATGCCTCCCCGCATCCCCTAGGGCATTGGTGTAAAGCTGGAGACCCACTGCCCCAGGTGCTGCTGGGGGTTGTAGTCTGACCCGGCTGGGAAGAAAGCCACCCAACTGGGAAGAAAACTACCGGGCTCCAGGGAGAGCAGCTTGGGAAGCCCTCACCTCAGTTACATACTGCAGCATAACCATCCGGGCCAGCTTCTCCTGGATCAGCCCAAAGTTGTGAATTTTCTCCCCAAACTGGGTACGATTAGCGGCATGATCTACCTGGAAGAGGGTACGTGCGTCGTGGTTCAGTGTGGTTCTGCGGTCTCCCTAAGAGTGGGGCTGGGCTTTGGATACAACCAGTGTTCAGTCTACATAGGATGGAGACCTAAGTTATGGGGACCTAAGCTAGCGAGTCTGGGGCTGCTGGTAGGGGAGGAGTTTCTAGTGTAGGGAATGCATGCAGGGACACATGGCAAGGGGACAGTGAGACTTCTGTTGGGGCTAGCTAGGGACTCAGGCAGGGTACTCACCGCCTTGGCAATGATGCCTCTCATGGTACCTGCAAGGGCTGCAGCCATGCCAAACCTTCCGTTGTTGAGGATATGCATGGCGACCTTGAAGCCACTCCCAACCTCACCCAGCACATTCTCTGAGGGCACCCGTACTCCATCAAAGAACACCTCTGCCGTGTTAGAAGCCTTGATGCCCATCTTCTTCTCAGGGGGCCCACTGTGTCAGGGCAGTGTGGGAAAGCAGCGGTGTGTTTAGTAGGTTGTCACTGAGGGAAAACCACCCCTTCACTCCTTATGCACCAGGAAGGAATTACAGCTTCTAGACTATCAGCAGCCATAGGCAACATGCCCCCCAAGGCCCTGAGGACTAAGAAGGCCTGGCTATGTCCTATTCTGTGTTGGACTTGGCTGCTGGAGCCAAAACTTAAGTTCAGTTGCATACATATTAGTCCCAAAGGTCACATTCAGTCCACTTGCTTTGGCTTTTGCATACATCCCCAGTGTGACCTGCAACAATCATCTGCTTTGGTGCCAAGTTCTGCCCCCTCAGTCCTAAGCTCTTCCTCCCCAAATCCACTCACTGGGTAACGCCCCCGAAGCCCCTCTCCACCACAAAAGCGGTGATCTTCTCCTTCACAGCCCCCGTGGCTGGATCGGTAACTGGTGTCTTGGCAAAGACTGTGAAGATGTCTGCCAGGCCCCCATTACTGTGGAAGAATGAGGGGGCATTCAGGACATGGAGGACTGGGAGCAGTGAGGCATGGGATTGGGCAAAGAGGGGAAATGGGAGGCAGATTGCCTGATCCAAAGCTTGCTTCCGTTGAGTGTATAGTATTTTCCACAGGGGCTGGGCACAGCAGAGGTTCGGATGGAGGCTGCATCTGACCCGCTTGAGGGCTCGGTTAGACAGAAAGCGGCCAAAGTCTCCCCTGTTGGGGAGAGAGCTCCTTTACCCCAAGTTCTGATGAGCTTCAGAGTACCCTCCACCCACTTCCCCATCCCTCCACAAGGCAGTTCTCCCTAACACCTGGCGGTATCCAGTTTTTTTCTTTTTTCTTTTTCTTTTTTTTTTTTTTGAGATGAAGTTTCCCTCTTGTCACCCAGGCTGGAGTGCAGTGACGAAATCTCAGCTCACTGCAACCTCTGCCTCCCAGGTTCAAGCAATTCTCCTTCCTCAGCCTCCCGAGTAGCTGGGATTACAGGCGCCCACCACCATTGCCGGCTAATTTTTTTTATTTTTAGTAGAGACAGGGTTTCACCATGTTGCCCAGGCTGCTCTCGAAGTCCTGACATGCCTCAGCCTCCCAAAGTGCTGGGATTACAGGCACGAGCCACTGTACCCAGCCAGTGTCTAGTTTTCTTTTGCATTTCCCAACCAACACTCTGATGCCTCCCCAGAATCTTCTCCCAAACAAAATGCGCAGCCATTTGATAATGTAAGTACCAACTAGCCTAATCTGTGCCAAGCCCAGTATACCCCCCAATCTCCCTCGGTCTCCTAGGGTTGCCTCACCAGATGCCAGTTTGGGGAGGTATTTTTCTTTCTGGGCCTTCGTGCCAAAGAGCAGGATGCCTTTGAAACCGATGCTCTGATGGGCCCCCAGGGTAATGCCCACGCCAAGGTCATGCATGCCCACGATCTCCACCAGGCGGGCGTACTGAAGGGGAAACGGGAATCTGGGGCTGTCACTGGCTGCAGGGGGACGTACCTCAACAGGAGAGTGTGGGCAACAGGGCAGTGCGGGCACCTGGACCATCCCCCGTGTGTGGGAAGGAAGTGATGTCGGGCAAAGGGTACAGCAGAGAATGTTGATCAGTCTTAGGTCTTGGTAGGAGGGTGACTTGCTATACTCTTGTTCGGTGGCCCCAGCTTAGAGATTTCTAAGGACTTGGGAACCAGGGTGAAGCCAACGGCTCTTAGCTCCAGGGGACTGCATATAAATTGCGTGATGTTTGGGAAAGGAGGTGGTCATATACATTTTGGACATCTCTCCCACAGGCCCCCAGGGCAGGTGCTTCGAAGAGACTTTAGCCCTGGGGATGGCAAAGAAGCTGAATCTGCCAAGCTGGACTACGGGATACTGGGATGTGGTGATAGGGTGCCCCTCACCTGGGTGTTGCAGAGGCCCACACCACCCAGCTCACTGGGCACTTGCAAACCAAAGGCCCCCAGCTCCTTGAGGCCCTGTAAAGTGGTCTCCTCTACCACCTCCAGAGTGTCATTCTTGGCAGGATCGTTCACCTCCTGGGGAAGGCACAGGATCCCACATTCACGCTCCTTCTGAGCTTAACATCTCCAACCACCCCCAGCAGCGACCAAGCCCGAGTCATTCCTCACCTCGAAGAAACGGGACACAGGCCCCACCAGCTCTTTAAGAAACTGTGTCTGCTCTTCGTTGAGCACTGTAGCGGGTGGGGGACAGGCCAGTCAGGCCAGGCTGGCAGGAGAAACCACTCTGGCCCCACCCAGCTCTATCCCTTCCCTTACCAGAAGGGTATGGGAACACCTGATCTGTGGTGAGCTGGCCTTTGAACATCCCCACAGCAAAAGACTTAGATTCCTGGGCAGAGAGAGGGGGTTTCAGGACTATGGTTGGGGTGAGTCTGTCCCTGGTTAAGGTCCACCTGGCCTCGGGGCTACTTACCGTCTTGGCCAGTTTTTCCCTGGTCGAAGAATCAGAGGAGTGGGAATCTGGCTTGTCCACAGCCGCCTGGGAAAAAGAAGGTTAGCAAGGCCGGGGAGAAGGGACTTACGCTGTGCCAAGGGAAGCACAGGGCGTGAGCCGCGCCTGGAGGCAGCGCAGATGCGGCGACCTTTCCCCTAGTTTCGCCCTAGGGCACCCTGGCTTGCCCTTTCCTCTACTTTTGGCGACAGAACCGTGGGCAGGGGACTGGCACCAAGAGGGGACCCCTGCCGGCGGCGGGGAGGAGGGCGCCGAAGTGGACCGCCGCTCCCACAGCCCCTAGCCAAGGTTGCCATGACTTACCTGAGCGGCGACCCCGGCATAGGGCCGCCGGGCAGGGCCGGGCCGGGGCTGCCCCAGGAGTGCCGTGGGCCGCGAGCTGTGGGGAGTTGGGGGTTCAGTCCTAGCCCAGTGCCCTGGCCTGCCGTCCCCCGTCCCTCTTGTCATACACAGACCTTACGCCCCCCAGCCTCAGCAGCTGCCGTCCCACGCTCGAGGACATCCGAGCCGCCTGCATCTCCGAACCGCTCTGGGCACTGGTACCTTGAGCGCTGACCCAGCTCTGGCGCCCGTACGCACGAGTCAGGGCGCCCCCTAGCCCTGACTCATCGTCCACAATGCACCGGGCGGCAGGCGGGTTCCGGGGCCCGGGGCGTGCTGGGAGCTGTAGTTCCTGGGCACTCGTTCCGCCGACCTAGAGGGATCTCCAAGCGTCATTTGTCTCCCCCAGACTCCATCCTGCCCGTCCGAAGTAGAGTCTAGTCCTCCGACGGGGTGATGGGATAGGGTGTGACGGAAGAGGAAGGGGCTTAAGTCCCTGCAGCCAGAGGGATGGAGGTGGACTGAAGGGAGGGCTTCTCCGGTGGGGTTAGAAGGAAGAATTAGGGGAAGAGAACTGTAAGGTAGATGCCAGAGGTAGAGACATGGAAAGTCGCCTCTAGAGTTTCTGGTGAAATCTGTCTCCGCCAACACAAGGGTACGGTGGTGGTGGGCACTCAAGCTAGGGTGTGAGTACGCTAAGTGTATTCTCCTGAGACCTAGGCGACGTCGCTAACTCTTGAAACAGCCACGGTTTCACAGTAGGAAGGCCTCCCCAGGTTCACTGCCTCACCCTTAATAAAGCCTCTGAGACCTTCCTGAACATTCCTCTGTCTCTATCCTCTGTTCCTTCCAGAGACCATGTGCCCAGGCAGGTGGATTCTTCCTGGGCGGGAGAGGAACTGCAGGAATTCTCTCTCCTGCCACTTGCCCGTGAAATCCCAACTTCTCTAGCCCTGGGTCAGGAAGTCCCAAACAATTTATACCCGTCTTTCTGCAATTCTCATTGGGGTGAGAAGAGGCCCAGGAGGAGAGAGAACAGGGATTAGCTTCTTTTTGAGCTGCTGGAGCCTTCTGTGAGGAGGCTCTCTTTGCTGGCTTCTCAGAAGAGTGTGGCTAAGTTTTGCCTGCCTTTGGGGAGAGGGAGCCAGCGTGTATGGAGCAAGGTGGTGGCTGTGCTGGTGCCTGGGGACCTGGGGGAATGGGACAGCTGGTCGGTTCAGAGAGTGCCTACTTTACTCACAGCTGGAATTGAATGGGGAGAAGCCGCTCAACTCCAATCCTGGAGGATTAGGAAGATTAAAGTGAGAGAAGAGAGAGATGTCCCAGAGACCAAGAGGTGAAAAACAGGGGTCCTTGTGGAGGGGAGGCCTGGGAGTGAAGTAGGGGGCTGGCGCTTGGGGATCGCTGTTCCCGAATCTTTCCATAGGGCCTGGGGTGAAGGGCACAGGCTGGGGAGATGAAGTGACAGTGTGTTCGTCTCCCTGTGTTGGCCTCTTCCCTGTCCCAATTCTCCTTGCATCTCACTAGCTCCCAGGTCAGCCCTCTGGCTCCTGGCTCCCCCACTACTGCGGTGGGCACCCCCGCTCCTCACAGTGCTGCACAGCGACCTCTTCCAGGCCTTGCTGGGTGAGTAGCCCATTTTCTGAGGGATCTGGGCCTCCAAGGGCCGTTACTGAACTTTGGGGGCTGGTTGGGAGCTTGGAGATCATTTGATCCAGGCTGGAGCCCCATTCAGGGTCATGGCCATGGTGTCCTCCATGATCCTGGACCAGCCTTGGCTGAAAGGGCTCCTCCCTTGCCAGACAGACCACAGCAGTGATGGCAGGGGTGATGTGCCCAGAGAGGCCTAGGGTGGGGAGGTAACTCAGTTCTGTTCCTGTGACAGACATCCTGGACTATTATGAGGCTTCCCTCTCAGAGAGTCAGGTAAGGAGGTGGGGGCGAGTGCCTGCCTTCCTGAGGGGCAGGTAGGGCTGGAGAGGTGAGTCAGATATGGCTAACATTACTTGGAGACTTGGGGGCCCTGCTGACAAAAGCCTGAGTTCGTGGCCCAGGGACATTGGGGCACCGAGAATGCACTCTCTGTGGTTCTGTATCCCCCTCCCTTTCTTCCTCCTTTTCTTTGCCTGCCCCAGTTTCAGGCACTAAAGAGTCTAGGGCATAACTTCTGAGGTTTCTCAGCCCCTGAGAAACCTGAGGGAGAACTAGGTCCCTAGGGATTCCCTCCTGCCAGCCAACCCCTGCCTCACACCGACCCCCTGCCCCCTGCCACAACCTCCCTCCCATATTCAAATAACTGTGGGTGCTCCCAGCCCAGCTATAGGTGCTTTCTCCTCTAAGAAATGAAATCCAGCCTCCTCGTCTTTGCTGTCAACGCTGGTGGCTGGCCAGGTCTCCATGTTTGCCTCAGGGTCTCTGTGCTTCTGCTTCTAGCTCCTTTCCCATTATCCGGGTTCCTGCCAGCACGGAAGGAGTTAACTCTGCCAAGGCACCCCCCCCATTCTGGTTCCTAGCTCCCTCCCTCCCTCCCCCTGCTTCCTCTCTCCTCCTCTCTCCCCTTCCCTCTTCGGCTCCACGGCTCCCTCGGCCGCTGCCGTTTCCAACCCCCCCACCCCTCTCCCCCGCCACGGCCCCTAGCCCCTGGCCGTTTGGCAAGACCCCCCCCTACCCCGGGGCTCCCCAAAATCCAGTTCCCCTCCCCCATCCCAGCTCATGCCCCAGCCCCCGAACTCCGGGGCTGCCAGCCCCCGGTGCCCCCGCCCCTCCTGAGGATCGGGGTGTGCTCCCCAAGTCCCCTCCCCTCCATTGGGGAGCCCCTTCCAGGGCCCCCTTCCCCTCCCTCCCACGCTCCCCTCCCCTTCCCTTCTCCAACCCCCTCCTTCCCCTCTCACCCCTCCCCCCATCCTGGCCCCCCCTGCAAAAGTGGGGTGCGGAGGGGGGAGGGGTGAGAACCCACGGAGGGGAGGAACGAAACTCCGATGAAGTCAGAGCCCCTTACCCGCCACCGCGGCCAGGCCCCCCAACATGGACTGTCTCTGTATAGTGACAACCAAGGTAAGCATGATGGGGGGGCTGTAAACTGGGGGGAGGGTATGAGTTTGTGGGGAGGGGCTAATAGGCCTTATCTGGGACTGGCGCCCCTGGAGTGATAGCATAAGAAGTAAGATGTATTTGGGGATCTTAATTTAGTTTTGGGGTTCACATCTGATAAAATGCTGGATTTGGCCACAGGTGCCCCCTGGAGTGATCCCTTTGTACCTGTAGAGAAATGGAAAATTTAGGATATTCCATGGTTTGGGAGGCCTGGTGGGTTTGGGGGTTCACCAGCGCTGTTTGAGGGAGACTTTTTTCAGGAGAAGCCTGGCTCCCATGGAAGTCCTGCTGGTGTATGTGGGAAGGTGGGCTATGTTGTGGGGGTCCTCTTCCCTCCCCAGGGAAAAGCTGCCTTCCAAGTGCCTTGTTCAATTTTGGGGGGCTCCTGGCATGGGGTAAAGGTTCTTGGTTGTGAGTGCCTGACTGGTCTGGGGGTGTCAGCTGGCAGGGAAGGGGTGGGCCTTCAGACTATAGAACAAGCATCTCGTAGCTGCATTTAGGGATGCTCTCTCAATTTGAGGAAACTGTTAATTTAGGGTTCAGTCATTTAGAATGGAGATGGTTGGAAGTTGGCAGAGGGCTGGGGCCTGACATGGGATCACCTGAGGGAATGCACCAGGTGAGGCAAGGATTTTGGGGTACTCCCATGGGAGGCAGAAGATTGCAGCAGCTGAGCTTGCCAGCCCCTGAAGTGGAGGAGGAGAGATTTAGGGAGAGGGGATTTGAGGAGGGGGACTGAGTGGGTGGTGCAAAATTTGGGGGTGTCCCAAAGGCAGGTGCCCCATGTCCCCATCTCCTCCCACACTGTATCTAGCCTGGATCAAGAAAGAGGGAGAAGAGCAGATGGGAGGACTGTTCACTTGCCCCTGATGCTTGGGATCAAGGTGGGGGGGACACCTGGATTTAAGGGTCCCTGAGGACTTATGACCGAGGTTACTGAGGTTACGGGGGTGAAAAGGTGTAGGAGGAGAGCAGGGCTGGCAGCAGTGGGGATCTGTGCAAGAGTGTCCCTCTGGTTGAAGCCTGGCAAAGGCAGGAGATCTTGGATGGAGCACAGGCAAGCTCCTGGTGGGATGCGGATACCTAGACTCTGCTTGGAGACTCTGGGGCTGGAGAGCTGGATGCCTGGTGTGTGGAGGGAGGCTTGGGCGGGTGGCAGGCAGCTGGGGGCTGGGGGGTGGGACAGGAAGTGGGGGCCGGGGGAGGCGGGGTCTGGGTGAGTCACAGGCTGGGGAGGGGGTTATATTTAGTGGGAACTGCAGCTTTTCATGGGAGGGAGCTGAGGACACACATGTTCCCTGCCACAAACTCACACATGTGTGTACACATGCGTTGTGCACGTGTGAGCATGGCTGAAAGAGATGGAGGGCTGAGGACCTTTAGATCTGGAGCCCCCACCCTCTCTCCACCAGGGCTACTTGTTTGTCCCTCATTCTGTGGGCTTCAGGGTTTCTCCCAGGCTGCCTCTTCCCCACATTCCCTGTAGTTTCGGTGGATTTTTATGCCTCAGTTTCTCTGGCCTGGTTTCCTTTAATGTCTGTCTGATCCTCTGCTCCTACTGTCTCCTGCCCTGAGGCCTGCCACTCGGCCTTAGGCTCCCTGGCTGTGGTCCTCTGTGTACAGGTGTAAATAGAAAGCCTGGTGGAATGTGTGGGCTCTGCTTCCAACACGTGAACACATAAATGAGAGCGAGGGTGAGGGGCTTGCCTGCACTGGCAGCTATTCTGGGTGGGTGGGTGGCCTTATTCATTACCCACTCCAGCCTCCTACTTCTTCCCTGGCACCCAGGGTTGAGCATCCCTGAAGGAAGGAGGCTTACAGAGCAGCAGATCATGCATTTGGGATTTACAGAGGCGTGGAGACCCAGGCTTGCCACATTCCTTGGCCGGAAAACTTGTCAGCCTTAGGATGGCGGGGACTCCAACTCCCACAAGGCCCCGAGGCACAAGATCCCTCAATGTTAGACGGTTGCTGCCCATGGCACTGTTGGGAGTTGTGGTTCACCTCTATTCAGGGCAGCTCAGGGTAGCCCAGGAGGAGCCTGCAGGGGGCACATAGCTCCTGTTTCCCCAAATGCTGGATTGGGTAGGGAGTGCTCAGGCTTTGCAGTCGTTCAGCTCCCCAGCCCTGCTGGAGTCTTCCATCTTTTATTGCCTATATTTAGATTCCTGCCGCAGTAATTTAAGGAAC